AGCATTCGTAATAATGGTATGCATTTAGTATGTGAGGTAAAATTATTTAACGAGGTGCAAGTTTATAAGTTCACATATACTTATATACAATACACTTGTTTATTTGATGTAAAACCATCCATTTATATATAATTTTAAAATGGATTTAAATCATTCTATTCTGTTTCAAATGCATTAATATAAGTGAAATAAATAAATAAAGATAACTTTTATTTTGATGAATTATTTAGCTTACAAGTTTGCAAAAACACTATTTCTTAATATTTGTTTTTCCCTATATATTTACTGGCGTCTGCGGTCGTTCCGCGAAGTTGTGCTACGCACGTTGTCTATCCCTTGCTTCGTGCTTCCCGCAATGGATCCCTCTCGGGTAGTTCAGGCTTTAAAGGGAACTTTGTCCATGGAACAAAGAGATGAAGCAGAAAAGGCCTTATTAGAAGTTTGTTTTACTCTCACTTTTTACTATCGTCAAGATGCATAAGATAATTCATTTTACTCCCACGCTACTGAAAATTGTCGTTGAAGAGTCCCTCGAAATTCCCGTACGCCAAGCGGCTGCTGTATACTTTAGGAACATTGTTTCGACTTCATGGAAGGATCGAGAGGCTGAACGACCAGATGAACCTGTTCCATTTAGCATCCACGAACAAGATAGAGAGTCCATACGCAACACTATACTTGATGCTATGGTCGCATCACCTGAACTTATGCAGTAAATTCTTCGCTGTTTTTTTATTTTAAGAATTCATCTGGAGGTTTCCTTGCAAAAAATTATTAGTTCAGATTTTCCTGCTAAGATGCCCGAGTTCCCGAAAAATATACACCAATATTTGACTGAAAATGAGCAGTATAGATGGAAAGGAGCGTTGCTGGCTCTGTATTCTCTCACCAGGGCATACGAGCATAAAAAACTTGATGAAAAAGGAGATATAAATCAAATGATGTATGTTTTGCTGCCCTTGATGTATCAACGTTTGGTGAATTTTATCGATGATAGTTCAAGTTTAGCCTTGCAGAAGCAAATATTCAAAATATTTTTTTATTACATAAAATATCATTACCCTGTGGATTTGATAGACAAAGAGGTATTCTTTTTTTAAATGATTGCCAGGCGACCGGAAAATGGATCGATGCATTTAGACACGTACTTGATGATTTATCCAACGCAGACGATGATCCTACTTCAATGTGGTGGAAGAGAAAAAAGTGGGCTCTGAATATTCTCTGTCGTATTTGCGATAGGTTAGATTGCCTTCTTTATATTGCCTTCCAGATATGGGAACCCTGGGGTTGTCACTAAACGATATACTCAGTTTTCCGAGTGGTACCTTAAAAGTTTTTCTCACCCACTCATAACTACTCTGCTCAAAATTTGCGAAGCTTATCGCCAGAAAGTTTTTGTGGCTCCTAAAGTATTAGGAAAAACCCTGAATTATCTTACAACTGCGTTAGTTGTGGTCATCAAGCTCATTTTTTTAGTTTAAGTCATTCCTTCTCTTGGAGAATTTTACGCCCACATTTCCCTCTTCTTGTTCAAGAGGTTGTTTTTCCTCTTATGTGCCATAGTGAGGAGGATGATGCACTGTGGTCAGAAGACCCTATTGAATATGTCCGAATAAAAGCATGTGAGTTTTAAACGGAATTAATTTTATTGTATATACCACATTTATCTAAAAGCTAACTTATTTTAGCCGATTGTATGATGAATATTGATCCTACGGATGCTGCTTTGAACCTCCTCCATGAGGCATGCCTCAAGCGGAGGGGTGTTCTTGAAAACGCTATGGAATTTTGTATTCATCTTTTAACTTCCCCAGAGAGAGATAATCGGTCGAAAGACGGAGCTATACATATGATTGGGGCAGTAGCTGAAATACTTTTGAAGAGGAAAATGTACAAGGTGTGTTTTATCCTATTGTCATCTCGTCAACTTTATTCTGAACTTCAGCTATTGCTTACCATAATTTTTTAAAATATTTGTGTTAAGAACCAAATGGAAAGCTTTCTTGTCAATCATGTGTTGCCTACTTTTGAGGCTCCTGAGGGTTATCGACGAGCGCGTGCCTGCTGGATTATTGGGAAATTAGTAGATGTTGATTTCAAGGATATCGCTGTTTTGCATCAAACGACAGAAGCGCTTAAGCGCGCCATGAGCAAAGATCTTGAAATTCCTGTGCGTACCCTGGCTGCTATTGGACTCTTTGATTTGCTGCGCGCACAAGAGAGAAGTTGGTTGAATTTATTAATCCCACTTAACTTATTCGGCTTATATTTTATGCTTCATTTATTATCTTCGTTTCTAGCACGAGAACTCCTTTTATCCTGCCTTCCGGAACTAATTATGCGTAAGTTCAACTCAGCTATTCTTTTATGATGCTTTGGGATGCTTTGTGAATTAGCAAGTATTTATACTTCTCAATGATAGTGCATCACCTTGCTTTCACCAATTCATTAACCTAATTTGAATATGCTTTTTGAAGCAATATTTTGCATTTGGTACTATTACCTTTTCACTATTCGTTGCCAAAGCTTCAGTTCTTTGTAAACGGTTTAGGGATTTCCTTTCGTTCGATGTTTATTGGGATCCATCCTTTCATTAAGTATGCAGATAGAATGATTATTTTTATTTTGGAATCCCAACTGCATTACCATGGATAGTTTACTTGACTAATTTTTTTTTTGCCATTTCTTAACTCATTTTTGCTGAATATGCTCCATTGTTTCTCCTTTTTTTACCTCTTATTACACAGTCATATTTTTTAACAACCCATTTCAGAGCTTCTCAATTTACTTCGTGAAACAGAGTTGGATAGGTTCAATGATATCCTTAGTCATCTCGTTAACAATTACAAGGACGAAATTTTGCCAATTGCCTTGCAAATGATGCAGCATATGGTGAGCCATAATTATTATTCTGCTGTTCTAAAGTACATTTGCGCTTGTTCGTTACTTGAACTGTAAGTAAATTGCTCATTCAGCATTTCTGTCGACTTAGAGCCTCCAATTTCCATTGCTATTTTGTTTATTACTTATCTACTGAAATTCTACTTTATTCGTAATTTTTGCCTGGAGAGGTGCGTTTAAACTCTTATTAAAAGGCTTATTGGACCACAGTCTAAGAGCTAGTGTCTAGGAATATTCGTTCCCGACATATATGCTCGCATCTAGGGCTTTGCTCTTTGTTTTATTTGAATTCTCAATGTAATTGGTTTGAATTCATGATTCGAATCTAAAATACCATTAAAAATTCGGCTAAATAATTGTGTTCACCCTATTCGTTTAAGGTGATGAAGCACTGACAGCTGGATCCTACAATATGATATTCATATTATGCTCCGCTTTGTAATCCACTATTACTTATTGAGGTAGCTGCTGTTCTTTATCTATATTTTTCATTAATTTACATGTCCACTAGTGATCAAACTGTCTTTCTTGATCCTCCTGTAAGATTTTCCCCAAATTTGTGAACTTGTAGATGTTAGTTGTTTTCTCTCAATTCATTTATTCCTTCTGGTTGCATCTAAGACCCATACACTTTAGAATGCAGTTTATTTTAAACTAAGATGCCTAGTTTTGCAATTTTAAATACTCCTTTCTCATGTGAAAAAAAACTGGATTTCGAAGAATTCCTTAATGAAATATGGCACGACTCTCCATTTAGAAGGGAAAATTGGTTGGAATGAGTTCGTGATGTGGTCTCATCGGAAACCGGAGGATTGTCACGTAAGGAAAACTTGAATTGTCCTCGGTTCACCACCCAGCACAACGCGGGCGTTAGAATTATTTAGCTGATAATGCTAAAATGGAACTAAACAAGTCATTAAGTTTCTGCATTTTTTTCCACGTGGAACCTTTTTCTTGCCTTACTCTATGCTAATGTTAAAATCATTTATTTATTTTAGTGTCTAAAGTATATGCCAGCCTAACTATCATTACCATTAGGTTCTTAATTGTCATTATCAGGCTCGATGAATCGGCTAAATTTTAGTTAATCTATGATACTTAAAAATTGC